TTCTGTGTCTCCACCCCTCCTACCATTCTTGACATGGTTTCTTCTTTATATCCTTGGTTTAGGATTTCTTTTCAGCTAATCTTCAGATGGTTATCTAGGTTGACTGTCTATAATTTAGTTCTAATATTGATGAGGTCATTACAAAACGTGAATGCAGCTACTTCTTAAAACATTCCACTCAGGCAAATCAAAATAGTCTTTTTTACTAAAGTATCCCTTCTGATTTACCACTTGGCAACTGAAAAGTCTCATGCCATTGAGAACTATGCCAAGCCATCATAATTCATACTAGGATATTTCCCCTGAAGCCCCACTGATACCCAAGTTCATTACCCCACGGATGCCCAAGTTCATTACCAAAATAACTTGAAGATACTGCTTCTTCACTGACAATTTGAAAACATACATTTAAACACTAACTTTGTGCTGAATCTCTTCAGGAGACATTGCTAAAGCATGGGAAGCTGAGATCAGTGAAAATATATTTTTGGTCACATCTAATTCACAATAAAATAAAAATGAATTATCCTGCTTCCCTTCCTTTCTGACTACCAAAACATAAAAACTGCAAAAAAAAAGTAATTTTCTTTAATCCAAGCACTAAAATATACTCAAAGCAGGAGAAGAGTGAGGCACCTCTGCACACAGCTGGTTAGCAAACATGATACTGAGGGTTGGCATGAGGTAAAGAGAGAAAAGGCAGAAACAGGCAGAAACTGTCACTCTCCACAAAGTCCTTACACTTTACAAAAGGGGGGGGGAATCAACAAAGAAAACAGCTGGGAACAATTAAAAAGCAGTACATCAACAGGTGCAAAAAATGTTCTTGTTCAAATGAAATGAGTATAAGTGCCAAGGAGACTAATTGTGTGTTCCCCCAGCAGGAAAGATTGAGGAAGAAGGTGGTCCTTTAAACAACTGTTTGCCACCGAGAAATCAGGCTCACCACAGAGATATAAACAACCAAACTTCTACTCTTTGCCACAGGAAGAAAATGGTTCAAGTGCATGTCTAAATGGTACTTACAGTCCATGTCTGCTCCCTTATTACTGCATGACTGAGGCATAGGGAACTCAGTACACTGCCTGCTAGCTGACTGTTGGAAAGAAATCTATCTGCAGCACAGTCAGAGCTAGAATAACTGACTCCAGCCTCTGCTTGAGGATCAAAGAGGCTAACATCCTAACCCAAACAGGTCCACCATATATCCCTTGATGATTGATATAGGTCTCTGCACAAATATGGATACAAAAAGTTTTGCAAGCTTCATCTTTCTTCTCATGACTAGAGATAGAAGAAAACTGATCAAATAACAGGTCCCTTCTAATTGCCCCAAAACTCTATGAATTATGTGGCCCTCTTTAGCCCATGGCCATCAAAAATCTTTACACAGGTAGATCAAGCTCCACAGCTTAACACAAAGCAGGCAAACACTCTCCTGTTAACAAAGTAAACAGATCAAAGTAAAAAAGAAAAATGGAAAAAAACACATACAAATAGAACGTTGTGTTAGTCTACATAATTTTATTAACATCTTTTTTCAGTTCTAAGCTTAAACAGTCAGAAAATGTCTTGTAAGATATTATGCAACTGAGGCTTAGGAAAAGTTTTTCCCTGTGTTTTTATACTCATAACTATTTAAAATATCTTATTCATATAATTGTAAGAGGAAAATTGTGCAGTATTATCTTTAACCTTCAACTCATTTTTAATGGTGCTTTCCTGTACTTCCTTTAAGCATATAGCTATTCCTATAAATTTTTGTTTTCCAGGTTAGCCAAGGGCAGCTTAGGTGACTCAGGATTTTGTCCAAAGCAACCTGAAATACTGGACTACTGGTCAGGCTTGTGAGCATTTCCTCAACTTCCATGTGAATCTACTACCTTCCCTAAAGAGAATGATAAATAAGGCTAGAGACATTGCTAGTTGTCACAGTGCCTAGCACGTTCAACTTTTGAATACCTTCATAAAGATTATTTTTAAATCTCCCCTAAGAATACTGTAATAACCAATTGAAAACATCATTCATGAGTGTGGTCTGCATTCCTGAGGATGACACTGGGGTCATCTGCTGGGCAATACAAGAGTGCCTCCTACTTCAGGGAAGAATAGTGTCTGAGGATCTAGTGAAAGTCAAGACTTTATGGACATCACAGCTTCTTGCCACCCTAACCCCCCTGCCACCCACCACCCACTTCTGCTACCAGGACACAGGAAGACTGTCTCACACAAAGGACAGATCTGTAGACAGGAAATGTCAAGCTCCATTGCCTCACACTGACAAGACAAAAGTTGGTCCCCTGAGTAGATCTTTCAGAGTGGGATGAAATCTTATTTGCATCCGATGTATCAAAGGTCTTGGCATACAGAAAGCACCTAATAAACTCCAATGTACTGAACAGTAAAATGGATAGATGAATGAATGAATACATTTGAAATAAAATAAAAAAGGTTATATGGATCCTCTGTCTTCCACAATAATGGTCAGTTTTTACTTTGCTCTTATCTTTACAATAGCCCTCCAGATAGGTATTATCCCCATATTGTGGAGCAGAGAACTGAGGTTTAGTAAGTTAAATAATTTTTCTAAGTCCACAATAATGCTAAGGGGTAGCATGTGAACTTACATCTTTCCAAAACATGTATCTTTCTGACTTACCAAATCATTTTCTTAACAAAAGTTTGACTATGTAAAGTTTCCCAAGTAAAATAAAAGATTAAGCAAAAGTAGATGTTAATTTCAAGATTAAAAAAATTATTTCTCAGACTATTCACTGTAAATAATATAAACCAAAAACATGCCAAAACCACTTTAAATTTTAAGTTCAGTGATGAAATTCTTGGGAGAAGTTGGGCCCTGTTAACCTTTCTTTTAAGGTCTAATATCTTTACCACGTGATTATTAAAAGTGTTAAAGAGCCCATAGAAGATAGTGTGCTGTGTCCTATGGGACTCCTCCCCATGAACCAACAACCTCCAAGTCCTCAGAAGATTCACAGGGAGAAAAATAAAATTGTAAGTAATAAACATAAAAGCTTTAGCACATCTAAATTACATGCAAGAGTAATTGGAACTAAAATGCATAGAAAACAACCTGTCTGAAATTTGATTTTCACTGGCCAAATCCTCATCCAACTCATGAACTCCCAAGGCCACTTGGTGAGTGTTTGTTACCAGCATTCTGAGGTGCTCTAGAGTAACATTTAAAGCCATACCCTATTTCCCAGCAAAGCCAAATGTCTCTCCTATGATAGTGCACGGTCCTTGCCAGGGTATGCATGGAGGGCAAGGCCAAGTCACTCATAGGCCCTAGAGCCAAGTACAGCCCTCTGACAAGTCTAATCCACCCCCTCTGACAGCATGCCCTTTGTTCTTCCACTTTGGAAGGCAATTACAACCTCTTTCCAGTATGAGAAGTGGCAAAATATAGTACGTATATCTTATTATTTTAAGTAAAGTCAAGAAGAGAGGACAAGAGCAAAGTACATGAAACGAAAAGCAAATATAGCCCTGGATGGTGTAGCTCAGTGGACTGAGTGCCAGCCTGCGAAGCAAGGGGTCGCTGTTTTGATTCCCAGTCAGGGCACATGGCTGGCTTGTGGGCCAGGTCCCCAGTGGGGGCCACATGAGAAGTAACCACACACTGATGTTTCTCTCCCTCTCTTTCTCCCTCTCTTCCCCTCTAAAAATAAATAAATAAAATCTTCTTTAAAAAAGCAAATATAATTTGAATAACCTGTTTTGTTTTGGGGTTTTAGAAACAGAAATCAACAGAACCTCTAAAACCATTTAGCCCTAAACAGCAGTGTGGTTCTATAGCTATGTCATAAATTCCTTCCTAACTAGGACTCAAAACCCAGAAACCACAAAAGAAAAGATTGATAAATATAACCACATAAACATCAAGAACTTCAGACTGATAAAAACCAAAGTCAAAAGACAAATAACAAAAACATAGAAACAGTATTTGCAAATTTTAACACAAAGTCTACTTCCCTAGTATATAAAGTATTCCTGGACATCCATGAGAGAAAAAAAAGTGCAACAATAGACAAATACAAATGGCTCTTATAATCATATGAAGGATGTATCACTACAACTTCACTCATAATAATAAAAATATAAATTAAAACTACATTTAGATGTCACTTTCTAAATATAACATTGGTAAACTCCTAAAATGTGGTAACATGGCCTGTCACTGAGTATGTGGTAAAACAGGCACCCTCACCACTGCTGATGAAGTATACAATAGTACAACCCCCTGGAAGGTCAATTTGGTAATGCTAACCAAAACTACAAATGCATATATGCTTTGACTGGACAATTTCAATTCTGGTAATTTACCCTAAAGGTACACCTGCACATAATAAGTGCAATGAAACTAAATAAGATATATTATTCATTGTATTTTGTATGAGTAAAATTTGAAAGTCGGTCAAATGTTCATGAATATAGGACTGGTTCAATAAATAGAGAGCTGTAAAATTAAAGGAGAGGAGGACAGGGGAAAGGAGAAAAGAGGAAGGCAGCTTTCTATGTGCTGATGTAGAAGAATCTTTAACACATAGTAAGTACAAAAAGCAAGGTGCAGGACAATGGGTATGTGGTACCTTTTGAACAAACAGAGAGTAGTAATGGTTGATATATTTTCAAACGTGTTTATAAATGCATAAAAAATTCTAGAAAGATATGTAAGAAATAGTGTTTATGGGAACAACAGCAGGAAAAGAGTAAACAAAATCAACTTTTATTTATTTTTTAAAATGTTATAATATTTTTAAAGGATTTTATGCCTTTATTTTTTTAGAAAGGGGAAAGGAGGGAGAGAGGGAGAGAAACATCAGTATGTGGTTGTCAATTGCGTACCCCCTACTAGGGACCTGGCCCACAACCCAGGCATGTGCTCTAGACTGGGAATCAACCCTTTGATTCACAGGCTGGCACTCAACCACTGAGCCACACCAGCCAGAGCAACGAGTCAACTTTTAAATAAATACCTTTTGATGACAGATTTTCTTTTTGAGCCACTGGATGATATTACCTGATCAAAAAAAATAATTTTAAAAATAAATAAAACAATAATAAACTTTTTTGAACTTGACGAGATAGCTGTTTTCCCTACCATACTCCATATCACCATAAAAAGACTATGATTTTAACTTACTTAGTCTGTTCTTTTGTGTCCTACATTGTTTACTCCTCCCCATCCTAAGGGGATCCTCACAGTACATGGTATACCAATCCTTTATCCTCAAGTCTGTTTCTATTACAAAGAGCCTCAAAAAATTATTCTTAAATATCACAATTTAAAAGTAATATCAATGGAATCCATTTGCCTAAACCTGAACTAGACTTAAAAGGGCTGAAACCTCGGGTTAATCAAATAAAAACTGGTTTGATCTCCTTACACAGGAGTAATCTGAAAGACAACCCCCTTCCCTAGCCTCTCCCCCAAGGCTTTTCCAGGTGTTGACCCACAGCCTGCACTGTGCCACATCTCCAGAGATATCTAAGGTCCAATGCCTCAGACAACATCAACCAAGACTAGAGCTGGGCATGGAACCTAAAAGCCACCCACAGGTCCTAGTATGACAGCTTCTGTGCTGGGGTACAAGAGGACCTACCTGGATGAGATGCCTGACTCTACTCTTGCACAGTATAGGACCACACTCAAATCATTCCAGCTGTTTACCTTTACCTAAAAATTTCCAGAAATTGAACCTCCCAGGTTTGCAGTGCCTAACAAACTGTACTGTCTGACAATACTTCAGACTATAGTTTTTGTATTACCTCTTGGCTTCTGACAATTTAAGCTAGTTCTTATCATCATATCTACGGAGCAATTAGGATCACTTTAGTTATTTTACTATTGGAATCTTGTGCTCATCTATCTAGACCTTTTTTTTAATCAAGAGATCCATGGAACACAAGTGCTTCCCATTCACATAAGAGTTTTGATTAGCTTTGTTTTTTAGTTTCCTTCCTCTTTTGTAGTGCCCTAGAGAGTGAGGGGCAAGAGAATTATTTTAGAAAGATTTAGCGCTTCATGTGAAAAAAATCCTTTTTTCATTCATCAAAAGCTAAGTCATCAGAGTACAAAAATAATCTCTCTCCCCTTCAGTGGACATGAAAAGACACATGGGCGACCAACCCCAAGATGTCCAGTCAGGCTTCAAGACCCTATACAGCACGCAATCTAACACATGTTTTCCTTATGCCACACTCCTTCCCACGTGCCTTATGCATTTAGTGTTGGCAAGTCTAGGGTCAACTGAGCACCCAGAGAAAGACAACCCCACAGTGTTAGAGAAATCTAGAGAATCAGTCTATTTATTAAAAACTACCCCCCAAAAAATCGTTCTGGAAAGAAGGAACCAAACCTTTCTTTCTGGAGCATAGCCAAGTTCCCATTTTACAGTCAGCAGCAGGTCCCAGCACTCTAAAACAGAAACAGTAACTGCATATTTTCCTCTGGAGCTGGAGAGTAAGCAGGAAGTCCTGCCAGAGAGACCACAGGGGGCCTCCAGGAGACTTCTTACTGCATGCCCCAGTACAGAAACCACTGCACACATTTTTCTTTAATTGAAGCAGTATAAATTCCCAAGTCACTCATCTGCATTTGGCCTCCATGTACACTAGTAAATATATAAACTAAAAATGTGAAGTATCTCCCATGAATAACACTAAAACAGGTAAACACATAAGCCTCCCTAACCTATCCCAAAATTACCTGTTCTGAAGTATCACTTTCCTCAAGTAGCATCAATCCTTCTTGCAGCAGTTGCTTTTAACAGTTTTCTGGAAACTAAATACCATCCTAGCAAGCTACTACTCTACACAGCTGATAAAAACTAATCATTGAGCTGCAAATACCAAGTTTTACAAACTTTGGCTACAGAAAACCATTAATCATCTGATGGCATTTTAGAGGTCTCCACAAAATCACATTTCCAAAATGAAATAAACCCAGTCTCCCAAACTGGGCTGCATTGGAACAACGAAACAGCCTGAGACAGCAATGAATCACAAACGGCATGCTAATTACCAATTTACATCCAGAAATAGCCGAAGACCGCAGGATTTTATTGTGGTTTTTTTTTTAATTTTATTTAGTTACTTTTCAAGTACATTTTTTTAATCTATTTCTCCCATCCAACCCACCCCCTCCCGCCCAGTCTCCTCCCTCCCTCCCATTCCCCCCCCACCAGTCCTCATCTCTGTGTCTTTCATACTTGTTCCTCAAAATCCCTCCCCCTTTTTCCCCTTAAGTTCCCTTCCCTCTCCCCTCTGGTCGCTGCCCACTTGTTCTCTATTTCAGTGTCTTTGTTTTTATTCTGTTTGCTCGTTTGTTTTATTCTTTAGCTTCCTGTTAAAGGTGAGATCATATGGTATTTGTCCTTCAATGCCTGGCCTATTTCACTCAGCATAATGCTTTCCAGTTCCATCCATGTTGTTGCAAAGGGTAGTAGCTCCTTCTTTCTCTCTGCTGCATAGAATTCCATTGTGTATATGTACCACAATTTTTTGATCCATTCGTTTACTGATGGGCACCTAGGTTGCTTCCAACTCTTGGCTATTGTAAATTGTGCTTCTATGAACATTGTGGTGCATAGGTTCTTTGAAATTGATGTTTTAGGATTCTTGGGGTATAATCCTAGCAGTGGAATTGCTGGGTCAAAAGGCAGGTCAATTTTTATTTTTCTGAGAAAACTCCATACTGTTTTCCATAATGGTTGTACCAGTCTGCAATCCCACCAACAGTGAACTAAGGTCCCCTTTTCCCCAAAACCTCTCCAACATTTGTTGTTCATTGCTTTGTCTATTATAGCCATCCCGACTGGTGTAAAGTGGTATCTCATTGTGGTTTTAATTTGCATCTCTCTGAGAGCTAATGATATCGAGCACTTCTTCATGTGTCTCTGGATATTCTGTATGTCCTCTTTCGAGAAGTGTCTGTTCAAGTCCTTTTCCCATTTTTTAATTGGGTTCGATGTCTTCCTAGAGTGGAGTCTTGTAAGTTCTTTGTATATTTTGGAGATTAAACCTCTGTCTGAGGTATCATTGGCAAATATGTTTTCCCATACAGTTGGTTGTCTTGCTAATTTAATACTGTTTTCTTTAGCCATGCAGAAGCTTTTTATTTTGATGAGATCCCATTTGTTTATTCTTTCCTTTATATTCCTTGCTCTAGGGGACATATCCGTAAAAATGTTGCTGCGTGGAATATCTGAGATTTTCTTGCCAATGTTCTCCTCTAGGACTTTAATGGTGTCACGGCTTATATTTAACTCTTTTATCCACCTTGAATTTCTTTTGGTGTATGGTGTAAGTTGGTGCTCAAGTTTCATTTTTTGGCTCATAGCTGTCCAGTTCTCCCAACACCATTTGCTGAAGAGGCTATCTTTACTCCATTTTATGTTACTGCCCCCTTTGTCGAATATTAATTGACTGTAGAGGGTTGGGTTGATTTCTGGGCTCTCTGTTCTGTTCCATTGGTCTATGTGCCTGTTTTTATGCCAGTACTAGGCTGTTTTGATTACAGTGGCTTTGTAATACAGTTTGATATCAGGTATTGTGATCCCTCCTACTTTGTTCTTCTTTCTCAAAAGAGCAGCTGCTATTCGGGCTCGTTTATGATTCCATATAAATTTTTGAACTGTTTGTTCTATGTCTGTGCAATATGCCATTGGTACTTTAATAGGTATTGCATTGAATCTGTGTATTGCTTTGGGTAGTATGGACATTTTGATGATGTTAATTATTCCAATCCATGAACACAGTATATGTTTCCATTTGTTTGTGTCTTCCCTGATTTCTTTCTTCAGTGCTGTGTAGTTTTCTGCATACAGGTCTTTTACCTCTTTGGTTAGGTTTATTCCCAGATATTTTATTGTTCTTTTTGCTATATCGAATGGGATTTTTTACCTTGATTTCTGCTTCTGCTGATTCATTGTTTGTATACAAAAATGCCTTTGATTTCTGGATATTGACTTTGTATCCTGCTGTTTTGCCAAATTCATTAATTAGTTTGAGCAGTTTTTGGGTAGAGTCTATAGGATTTTCCATGTACACTATCATGTCATCTGCAAACAGTGACAGTTTTGTTTCCTCCTTTCCTATTTGGATGCCTTTTATTTCCTTTTCTACCTGATTGCTGTGGCCAAAACTTCTAATACTATATTGAATAGAAGTGGTGAAAGTGGACATCCTTGTCTTGTTCCTGACCTTAGTGGAAAAGCTTTTAGTTTTTGCCCATTGAGTATGATATTGGCTGTAGGTCTCTCATAAATGGCCTTTATTATATTGAGGAATGTTCCCTCTATTCCCATTTTGCTGAGTGTTTTTATCATAAATGGGTGTTGTACCTTATCGAAAGCTTTTTCTGCATCTATTGATATGATCATGTGGTTTTTGTGTTTGCTTTTGTTTATGTGATGAATTACATTTACTGTTTTGCGAATGTTGAACCATCCTTGCATCCCTGGGATGAATCCCACTTGGTCATGGTGTATAATCTTTTGGATATATTGTTGGATGCAATTTGCCAATATTTTGTTGAGGATTTTAGTGTCTATGTTCATCAGCGATATTGGCCTGAAGTTTTCTTTCTTTGTTGTATCTCCATCTGGTTTTGGAATTAGGATGATGCTGGCTTCATAAAAGGAGTTTGGGAGTTTTCCATCCTTTTGGATTTTTTGGAATAGTCTGTGAAGAATGGGGGTTACCTCTTCCTTAAATGCTTTGTAGAATTCTCCTGTGAAACCATCTGGTCCAGGGCTTTTGTGTGATGGGAGTTTTTTGATTACTGCCTCAATTTCTTTTGCTGTTATTGGTCTATTCAGGTGTTCTACTTCTTTTTCATTGAGTTTTGGGAGATTATATTTTTCTAGAAATGTGTCCATTTCCCCTAGGTTCTCAAATTTCTTGGCATATAGTTCCTCATAGTAATTTCTTACAATCCTTTCTATTTCTGTGGTATCAGTTGTCATCTCTCCTCTTTCATTTCTGATTGTGTTTATTTGTGTCCGTTCCCTTCTTTTCTTGATGAGCCTACTTAAAGGCTTGTCTATTTTGTTTATTTTTTCAAAGAACCAACTCCTGGATTCATTGATCTTTTGAATTGTACTTTTAGTCTCTATGTCATTTAGTTCTGCTCTGATCTTAGTTATTTCCTTCCTTCTACTTGCTTTGGGCTGTTTTTGTTGTTGTTCCTCGAGTTCTTGCAGGTGTAGAGTAAGGTCATTTGTTTCAAATGTTTCCGTTTTTTTTAGGTAGGCCTGTATTGCTATAAACTTCCCTCTCAGGACTGCCTTGGCTGTATCCCATAAGTTTGGGGTTGTTGTGAGATCATTTTCATTTGTTTCCAGAAACTTTTTGATTTCTTCCCTAATTTCATTCTTGACCCATTCATTGTTTAATAGCATACCGTTCAGTCTCCATGATTTTGGGTGTTTTGGGTTTTTTCCTTTGGGGTTGGTTTCCAGATTCAGTCCCTTATGGTCAGAGAAAATGCTTGGTATGATTGCAATATTCTTGAATTTGTTGAGGCTTGTTTTGTGCCCTATTATGTGGTCTATCTTTGAGAATGTTCCATGTGCATTTGAAAAGAATGTGTATTTAGCTTCTTTGGGGTGAAGAGCTCTGTATATATCAGTTAGGTCCATTTCATCAGGGTGTTGTTTAATGCCGCAATGTCTTTGTTGATATTTTGTTTGGAAGATCTGTCCATTTTTGATAGTGGGGTGTTAAAATCCCCCACTATAATTGTGTTGCTGTCTATATCTTTCTTGAATTCCTCTAAGATTTTCTTTAAATATTTTGGTGCTCCTATGTTGGGTGCATATATATTTATGATGTTAATGTCTTCTTGGTGGATTCTTCCCTTGAGCATTATGAAGTGACCTTCTGGGTCACTCTTTATGGCTCTTTCTTTGAAGTCTATTTTGTCTGATATGAGAATTGCTACCCCAGCCTTTTTTTCTTGTCCATTTGCATGGAAAATTTGTTTCCAGCCTTTCACTTTTAGTCTGTGATGGTCTTTTGGCCTGAGGTGGGTCTCTTGTAGGCAGCATATGTGTGGGTCATACTTTCTTATCCATGACGCTATTCTGTGTCTTTTGATTGGAGCATTTAATCCATTTACGTTTAAAGTTATTATTGATAGGTACTTATTCATTGCCATTTTTGTACCTGTGTTCCTCTCTGTCTCCCTCTTTTCCTTCCTTTCTTTAAAGCAGTCCTTTTAGTATTTCTTGTAGAGCTGGTTTGGTGGAGGTGTATACTTTTAGACTTCTTTTGTTTTGGAATCTCTTTATTTGGCCTTCTATCTTGATTGAGAGCCTTGCTGGGTATAGTAGCCTTGGTTGTAGGCCTCTGTTTCTCATTACTTGGAATATTTCTTGCCAATCTCTTCTTGCTTGGAGTGTTTCCATTGAGAAG